TGATCTGTTTCATGTTGTTGCTGATCTGTTTCATGTTGCTGCTGATCCGTTTCATGTTGTTGCTGATCGGTTTCATGTTGCTGATCTGTTTCATGTTGCTGTTGATCTGTTTCATGTTGCTGCTGATCTGTTTCATGTTGCTGCTAATCTGTTTCATGTTGCTGCTAATCTGTTTCATGTTGCTGCTAATCTGTTTCAAGTTGATGTGTTCATGTGTGCTCATCTGCTCACACAGACTCATGCTCATGTTCGTGCTGCTGTTCGACGTGATGTTTTTATGCTATTAGTGCTTAGTGTATTTTTAGTTGATGTTTTTCTTAGTTCATATCTTAGATGTTATTATTGTTTTTCTTATCATTTTATTGTTGGATGTAACTGGGAGCCTGTGTACATAATTTTACTCCACCACATGTACCACATGTGGTGCGAACGACAATAAAGAATCTCTGACTCTGACTCATGTTCAGGCTAAATTGTTACATCACATTGGGGTCACCCTCCAGTATGAAAGTGACCTTAAGGCTTAACATTGCTGCATAGATTCTGTTTTTCTGATTTGTTTAGGTTTTTATTATTATTTTATAATTTTTACTTTTGTGTGAATCTGCATTGTTTGATTTACCGGTTACTTTGCTGCTGGTACACCTGAATTTCCCCACTGAGGGACAATAAATGTTATTTTTATTCTATTCTATTCTATTCTATTCTATTCTATTCTATTCTATATCAGCATCTTGTTGCACCCCACTATGAAACAATTTGGTACATAAAATATAACGTAAGTTGAAATACTCTAACTTGTACAATGGACATGTGTTGATGCCAGAAGAGAAGCTGTAGATTGCTCTAACCTATGTCTGGATTAAAGATCTCCTCCAGTACCAACTGAAAGAACTCCTTAGAAACTCCTCCTTCGTCTACACCCTGCTCTCCCTCAAACTCAACAAACAGCTGCTTTTTCAGGTCAGACGGGTTCTCCATGGAGATCATTTCCAGCTGCAAAAGGAGGAGAATTGGATATTCAAACATCTACACACACAGGACCAGGCAATGACCAATCCAAATGAGACTGGAGTGCAGTGAAACTCACTCTGATGAGGGCGTCATCGATGATGTGGTCTCTTCTTACTTTGAGCTTCAGGTAGGGGTTGGGCTGCTGGCCCTGGACCATGCTGTAGAGAGCTGTGAGGCGCCGCTCGCTGTACATCCTAATTCTGTTGTCATAGTACAGCCCTTGATTCTTGGTTATGACGTTGAGGATGAAGGGACAGCTCTGGAAAGAAAACTTTGTTTCTGCGTTGACTTTAAAGAAAGTGAAATCTTTGTCCATTTCGATCACATCGTTCAACGATTCGTTGATAAAATCCTCAAACGGGATGAGGGGTTGTATACTATCTATGGAGCGTACACCCAACTCTTTCTCTAACGGGTCGACCAGTGGGCCCTTCTTATACAGCCGCTCTTCACCTAGCAGTTCGTGCAGCGTCAGCTCATCGGACTCAGCATCTTCCTCGTCTTCCTCACTGTGTTCAACGTCCACTTCCCCTCCCAGGATGCTTGCATAGAAGACAATCTTCAAGCACTGAGTGGCGGTCACTACGGTCTCATCATCGTTCACCAGATTTTCAGCGTTATATTCATTGCTAACAACAGTGAAAGTAATGAGCTGCTGGAAGGTTTCCATCATACGCCGGATGTTTGGGAGGTCGTACGTCGACCAGAGCTTTGATAGCCGGGCGAGAGCGGTCAACGGCAGCTTGCTCATTGCCTTGCAGAACAGGGGTAATGCCACTTCAAGATACTCTGGGCTGTGCAGATTACTGTTCTCCATCACAATAATGAAGATATTTAAGTAATCCGGATTGGTTTCATACACATCAAGATACTCCAGATCCAGTTCAACATTTGGAGTGAGGTAAATGAGTCCATTCACAAGAGCTGACTCCATCTGGTCGATGGACAGAAGTTTGTCGTAGACTCGCCGAACCGCATCAATGTCTACCGTCACGTCACAAGGGTCCAGCATTCCATTTGGAGTCTCACCTGGCAAAGCAGCTTCAGAGGAGGCAACCTTATTCTCTGAGGTCTCACTTTTCTCCTCGTCTTTTGAATTGAGCGTTCTGGCGGCACCTAGCTCATTCTTCCTGAAACTTTTCATGAGAGCATCTGCGTTGGAGAATATTCTGCCGATGACTCGTACGAGAGCAGAATAATCCCCTTCCTTCTCACAAAAACTCAGGATGCTACACACACAGTGCTCTGTAAGGTAATGGACATCTGCAATAAGAAAGCAAAATATCACAGAGCAGACTAAAACTCAGCATTCTTGAGATTCAGGAGTCTGTTTTAAGTTACCTGAGAATTCATCGGCGCTCATCTTACTGCCCATCTCGGAGCTTTCGTCAGTGCTGGACTTGACAGCAGGGTAGTAATCACAGAGTTTGGCATTCACCTTAAACAGATCGAGTGCTTTGGCAGCTGCCGAGTTGTTATCCAGAGGTTGAAAATCACAATGTGATGCACAAAACTCATTTGTGCAATTGCTATTTCCACAGCCTTCAGTTAACTGTCGAAAGTAGCGTTTAATTAATCTCTTTGCAGTCTCTCTGTTCCTTTGAGAAATAATAAAACAGGAAGACAGACTGAGCATTACACAATAAACTCGTTTTTACAATGAACATACATCACATACTCTGGCCCTCTGGATATCTAACATTGGTTTCTAGACACACAAACAAAAATAGCAATCAAAAGAAGGAAAGAAAACTACGAAACATATGAATCTTTTGTTTGCAAAAGAAAAATAAAAGTTTGTAAATTCTATTCCCCAGTTCAAACCCCAACATGGTGACTTACATTGGGCTGAATTCAGACTCTTGTTTACAGGCCTGGAGGACAGTACCCTGAAGAAAGGTATGAGCAAAATATTTTATAATTTGTACATATTGAACAAGTATGATACAGCTCAAAAAAGTAATAAAACAATATATATGGATTATTATTTTTTAATAGTAGAAAATAAGCTTCAGAACTGGCTAAAAAGGTGTGTATGTTCCTGGAATGATTATCAAAAACAAAAAAAATAACCAAAGCAGAGGTCTGCAGTCGGATGCGCTTGGTCTCGCTGCAGTAGTTTATTTTAACTTGGATCAAAAATACAAAGAAAATGAATATTATTTATATTTAAATCCACATTTGAAAAGGACAGTTTTACTTGTTTTCCTGTCCAATTGTATGCAAATTAGTAAATGAAAGTTCTGTAAGTGACTGAAACAAAAGAAATAAAAAGTAAAACCTATCACTCAGTTTGCCTTAGTCATTTCTTAGCCACTTAATAACATAATCATCAAACCTGCAGCCACATAGTGTTGTCTTTGTCTGAAGTCTACCAGAAAATGACACATTTACACACATTTGTGTGATGCTGAGATGAAATAAAGTGCTGTTATGCGAGTCATCATAATAAGGCATTTTACCTAAATACTGCGTTTCTACTACAATAGAAATTAGAAAAAAAATGCTTGCCTTTCAGGAAAAAACAAAACAAAAGTTAAATTAAATGAAAAATATCAGTAAGACAAGTAAACAAGACAAGTAAAGAAGTTGTCGACTTTGATCTCTCTGAGGGATTTTAAACTGTTAAGTTCATTACAAAAACCAATGCAGACATGTTCCTGTTTTTAGTATTTTACATCACTTTATAATGTGGCTTGTTTTTGTTCCGTTTTTATATCATTTCTTCTATTTACTTTTCATTTTCTATGCTTTTATACGATTGCCTATTGCTGTCTGTAACTCATCTGTGTTTAAAACATGTCTCTCTTGTAAATGAGTCTTCGTGACTCAATGACACACCTGTATAAATAAATCTAAAAAATGTTGTCGGGTCCTCTGGACCAAAAAACCAAAACAACAAAAACAACAACAACAACAAAATGTAGAAACGTTTTGTCTCTCATCCGAGAGACTTCCTCAATCTGAGGTGCTGTATTCAGCTCAGTCTCTTAAATAGCACCTTCTCAGAGTGGATCAACCAGTTTGCTGCTGACAACCAAAACCAGCTGATCACATGCTCAAGAAGGACCATCAGTCTAACAATGGGTCATTAGCACACTGATGGCTGTTTACTGTTCACAGAGGGCTGAGTGATACTAGCAATCACAGCATTGTAAGAGGGGGACAGTTGAACACAGAGGCCTCCACCCCTGTTTAATGATGGACGATTTCTTTTGACAAAGATGGCCTCCTTTAAGCCCCCAGTATACTGCCGCGATAGTATACAACTGCCCAGCGACGGACTGTTTTGTATGCGACACCAATGTATTAAATTCCCCTTCTTCATCCCTGATCTGGCTTTTTCTTTAGTTTTTTTGCCAAGAGGCAGTGATCTCTTCCTCCTCCATTGATGCCATGACTGAAATGGTGAGAAATTAAGGAATTTGTCACAAGCGAATTAAACTGGGTTTTAACAAAAAAAAATTTAGATCTTTTTATTAACAACATATAAACACAGAACACCGCTGCGGCGGAGGCTGCCAGCGCTCGCTTTTTTTTTTCTGACCTGTCAATCAATCCAGTAGGCGTGTCAGCAAATGACCAATCGGCGACCTCAATTTGTCCCGTAGGTTAACGCCCCTTGTCTGTGGAGCTGCTCTGCAACTGATCGGGGTGTACGCTGGAGTATCATGTCTGAACCCTCTGTGTACAGTACACACGTACGTACGCGTGACCGGACGTGGCAGTATACTGGGGGCTTTACTCCTCTCTCAAACCATCGTTCCTCTCTGTCCAGGAAGTGAACATCTTCATCCCTGAAAGAGTGACCGCTGGCCTGGAGATGAGTGTAGACCGCAGAGTCCTAGCCTGATGATGTTGATCTTCTGTGCTGGTCCATCCTTTTGGCCAGTGGCTGTTTAGTTTCCCTGATGTAAGACTGATCACCTTACACAATACTAGAAGTTCCTGGAGAAACTTTGATGGGGACTGCCAGGCTGTGGCTGATTTAAATTCTTGATTTGATAGTAAAAGGTGTTTGGGCAGCATGGTGGTGCAACTGGTAGAGCTGCTGCCTCTCAGCGAGCAGGTCCCCGGTTCAAATCCCAGTCCAGAGGCCCTTCTGGGTGGAGACTGCATGTTCTCTCCGTGCATGCATGGGTTTTCTCTGGGTACTCCGGTTTCCTCCCACAGACCAAAAACATGCATGTTAGGCTGATTGGTAACTCTAAATTGTCCCTAGGTGTGAGTGAGAGAGTGTGATGGACTTGCGACCCGTCCAGGGTGTACCCCGCCCCTCGCACAGTGATTGCTGGACATGGGCTCCGGCGACACCCGTGACCCAAAATGGAAGAAGCGGGTAAAGATAATGGATGGATGGAAGGTGTTTGGGTTCGCTCTCAACTACCACTTAACCAAATTTCAGCTGAATAGCTCTAAAAATGGCTGCGTTATAGTCAATTTTGTGTTTGCTGAGGTAGCCATGGCAGCCATGTTGGATCAAAATGGCTCCAAAACTTAAGCAGTTCTAGACATTTATCTGATGATTACTTTCTGTGAGTTTCAAACAAATCCAATAGTTAGTTTCTGTTTTCATCAGGAACCAGTTTGTTCACTCTGTCATGTGACTTGACAGCAGCAGTTAGTGTGAGGAGTGTTCTCATTCATTTCCTATGAAGAATATAGGTGTCTTTGTTAGCAAAATACGTCACCATGGTAACTCCGATTGTCAATAAAAGTAATAACAACAGGGCCAAGCTGGTCGTTTTGACATAACATTTGTGGGGGTACACATTGTGGTTCGGGCTGCATTAAAGTTGAAAGAAGAATAAGTTAACAACAAAGTCCATGCTCAATAATCCAGGTATACAATCCAACATTTTTCAGTCAGGTCATCTGGATTGTTGAGCATGGACTTTGTTGTTTTCAACCAGTTTGACAAGACTGTCAACAAGGAAGAGGGCCGGCATATTAATACAAATTATTAATACTGATCATTATTAATATCAATAATTAATCATTCTGATGAAAACAGAAACTAACAGGTGGATTTGTTTGAAACTCACAGAAAGTAATCATCAGATAAATGTCTAGAACTGATTAAGTTTGGGAGCCATTTTGATCCAACATGGCTGCCATGGCTACCTCAGCAAACACAAAATTGACTATAACTCAGCCATTTTTAGAGCCATACAGCTGAAATTTGGTTTAGTGGTAGCTGAGAGCGAACTCAAACTCCTTTACTATCAAATCAAGAATTTTAATCAGCCACAGCCTGGCAGTCCCTGTCAAAGTTTCTCCAGGATCTTTCTAATTCCTCTTTCTTATTTTGCTTAATGACATTTAACTCTTCATGTCATCCCTGAAATTCTGACACAGAATCACAAGTCCAAGTGTGAACTGTGTCACAGAGTAAACACAATAAAAACATGCATTATCTGCAGCATTGTTCATTAAAATAGCTCAACACTATTAATGTATCACAGAAAATATACAAACGGTAGGTACACTTAATGATATTGTAGACCACTGCATTAGGCAATACATTTAGCAAGTACTTTTACTTTTAACACTTTAAGTATTTTTTAAAGCGAGTACTTACTTTTATTTAAGTAAAAACGATAATGTGGCACTTCTAGTTTTACTAGAGTACATTTTTGTCTGTTTATTTGTACTTTTACATAAGTACAGTGTTTGAGTACTTTCTCCACCACTGCTGTATACCTGTCCAGATGTTTATACAGATGTTTATCCGTGTTCTTTGTTGCGGTTCCTGTTAGAACACGTGACAGTAATCCCTGTGACCTGATTGGTCAACTCAAGTGACAGACCGGTAAGGCATGTAATAAGAATTACCTCAGAGATAAACCTTTACACTTGTCAGGCAACTAGTCCAAAGAACCACAACCTATTACTATTCCGGGTTGAATAATAAAACAGTTGGAAGAAAAGGAAAAAATACAATGTGGCTGGATAATTGGATAATAATAATACCGCAGAGTACGTGAAAAAGCAGAAGTACGTCGAGCCGGAGGAGTTAAAAGTTTTACAAGAATCGTCTGCAGTTGAAGCTAACAAAGTAACAAAGTGAGCCTGTAACTCGGTGACATGGGGAAAGGTTCGCGTCTCTCTGTCAGCTTCATGTACCAACCTGTGATTTGTCAGCAGGTCCCGAGTCTGTCGGTGACTGTGCAAAAATAAAAATCTGCTTCTTGTCAGACTCACATCTGCTTCTGTTCGGTTTCTTCTGCTCCGTGTAAAAACACGACTCCTGTTCCCTCACGGAAATAAATAAAGTGTGACAGCAAAGGAAGAGGAAATACTCTTTTGTTTTTAGGTCAAAAGCAACGCGTACCACTCTAAAACCTTGTAAACAAGGAGGTGGTATATCCCAGCATGCAGCGCGAGGTTGTCAGACGTAATTTGACCCCCCCCCCCCCCCCCCCGTGAACCCCACCCAGTGCACGCGCGACCCTCAAAAACAAATCCAGTAATACGTTTACAAACTTATTTTTCTTGTGCATTTGATGAAAAGCAGTGATTTATCCAAGCGGGACGTTTATGGTTGGACAATTATGGCAAGCCCTTGTAGCAAATAATCAAGCCACTTTCCTGTACTATATTTCTTTTTTATTTAAGTGTTTCATTTTAAATCACAGTCAGAGATAATCCAACAATTTTCAGTCAGGTCATCTGGACAGTTTCTTATTTCGCTCAAACGTTTCACCTTCCATCCGGAAGTCAAGGAAACACAACAAAACTGATTCTTCCCCCAAACAGCTTACAAACCAGCTATGTTGGTGCTAAGATGGTGGCACCCCCCCCCCCCTCCCCGTCGACAGTCATGTCCATTTGAACCAGTTTGACATGACTGTCGAAGACCCAAGGCTACTAACGTCTCCCTCTCAGGGGCCAAACCTTCAAGTTCCTGTGCCTGAGTCAGGAGATCTTTGTGAACTGGAAGATGCCATGGTCCTCCACCCAGCGCATGCGCGCTATGCTCCAGCATTTGAGGCGAACCTGTACAGCGTGTTCGTTTGTGGGTTCACTGTGCCCTCTGTTAGACGCAATTTTAAGTGGGACAGAATGTTTAACTCTGTGGTAAATGGTAAATGGACTGCACTTATATAGCACTTTTCTATCTTATCCAGATACTCAAAGGGGCAGAATTCCCCTTTTATTTCTGAATTTTGAGGCTAAACAGCGTGAACACAACATTTTTATTATTTCTGGTGATTGAAAACAACATTGTCCTCCTATTGCACAAATAGCAGGGGAATGAGAAATGTGTGTGTGATGCATGTCTAGACACGTTAGTCTGCTTAATCGGGGTCTTTTTAATACTGAAGCAGACCGTACACGATGAGCTCTCCTTTTGCCCTGTGAGTAGAGAGCCACGGGACGAAGCGGTGCTTGGACCATGCAGGCTGTCCGGGTCGTGGGCTCTCTCACTGACCCCCAGGGAAAGGCAACTTCTGTGATTCAGTCTATGGTGGAGGCTTCTTTTGCACGGGGCATTGAGAGAAGGAAATGTTGATGTGGAGGCACGGCCCTGTGACTGTTGGGGTTTTTGGGCTTGGAATAATGTTGTATTGGCATCCCCAGACTCCTCTTGTTTTCTCCTTTGATCATAGCAGGGTCTGAATCTTGTCCAAAACTTGTCCAAATAGTCTGATAGGCTCGACAGCCTGATGGAGAAAATCTGAGCAGTGGTGCTCTAGCAGCTCGGTGAGAGTGTGCCACAGGTGTCACTGCATGACAACTGCTTCCGCCGTGCCTTTTCCAAGAGTGATAGGTGTGGGGCTGGAAAACCGAAAGATAAAATCAGGCATCCTGCAGACCTCATACGCCAGCCTGGTGGTGTTTTCTCTGGTCTGCGGTGTCTCCTGTAGCTCCTGCAGCTTTTCTGCCTTGTACACCTGCAGCACTGAGGCCCTATTGAACACACATGCAGCGAGACCCTGGGTATGGTATATTTTTTCCAGCTGTACTGTAGAGAACTGACAATGCTTGCTAGGGCAAGTGGGTTTGCTGGATGATGCATTCAATGTGGGTGCCAAGTGGGCTGTATGAAAAGACCTGTAGACTCCATGTTTTCCAAGTCCATAAACGGGGAGAAAGACAGAGATAATGGGGCCTTAAGGGATGCCCAGTACCATGTCAGCTACGTAAAAAATTCTGGAAAGACAGTTAGTTTGTATCTTATCGAGGTCTGCTGTTTCAAGAGAAAATAATTACCCGGGAGTCTCGTCTGAAGCTGTCGAGATGTGGGAGCGGGCCACGGCACATTGAGACACTTGGCCGCTCTGCAGCACAGCTCGAACGAGGCTGGAGTGGATCCGTGAGCAGTTGGCGCCACCGTCTTCTGTGACAACTCTTCCCCTTCCTCGCCAGCACCGATCTCATCTCCAGAAAGGCCACCCAAGACTGTCATAGAGATCTCATCCGCCAGCAGCATAGTCTGCATGCCGAACTTGGCCAGGTCCTCATCCACATCACTGGTGGGAAGGAGTTCACCTATTTGCTCACCCTGGGATAATGTCGCGGCGCTGTCCTCCATCTCGTCGGGCTCCAACTCTGCGGTTGGTTCAAGAGTCTCGGACAGCAGCGTATCCCTTGCTGCAGTAGAATTCACCACCCTTTTTTTGTCAGGAATTCCAATAAAATAAAATGAAGATCTGATTTGTTTTTAAGTTAATAGTTTTATTGATTAATGATGAATTGTTTTAAATGCATACTTTCATACGTCATCACAAGTAAATTACTGTGAAACTAATGCTAAGTTTGTTGATTTAAATTTCAGCTACAAACAATAAAGTAGCCTGACTGACTCTATAAAGTACAAGTATAATCAGCTAATTAAATCAGCTACTAAATTAGCGTGAAATAAACCAAATGTGTAGTAGAAATGTGAGTTGGAGTGTTTTAGTTCACTAAGAATGCATCTTTCCTGGTTTATTCATGAAGTCAAACACACACACATCTCTCTCTCTCTCTTTCATAACCTCTTCATAAACAATAAATCACATCTGTCATGTAGACAGGAAGTGAAAACCTGCTGCCATCTCATTCTGCTATAGAGCCTTCGTAAATTATGCATCATCTAATCGAAGTGCAGCATTCTGCTGGTGCATACATGTTGATTACTCTGTCAGTGCACAAGAAATAAACCCAGTTTTACTCTTATTAATGTGACTTTTGATTTCTGGGCCCATCATTTCTTACGTCACATAGCAAAACTGGGCAGCTGTGGCTGAGTGGATAGAGCAGTCGTCCTCCAATGCAAGAGTTGGGGGCTTGAATCCACCAGCAATCACATACTGAAGTGTCCCTGGGCAAGACACTAAACCCCTCATTGCCTCCGATGTGTGTCCTATTATTGTATGGATGCACCCTTAAAGCACTGATTAGTCTCTTTAGAATGATTTGTTCAATAAGCTTTGTAGATATCTTGTAGAGTGCTGTATGAATGGGTAAATGAGGCACAGACTGTAGTGTGAAGCGCTTTGAGTGTCTTCAGTGGCGCAAAAAGCGGGTATGCAGCGTATGCAACGCATAGGGGCGCTGCACTGCAGGGGGCGTCAAAACCCTCTGTAGAAAAAATGTTTTTCTAGTAGGCATTTTCTAAATGATCAATAACAGGGGAACAGCACTGATTAGGCGCCCCTCTGCTCCTTCACCTCCCCTCTGCTCCTTCACCTCCCCTCTGC